AGAAACCAGTTCTCTCTGCAGCTACCAAGTTCCCTCACAACTCTCCTTCACACTATTCAACTTCCCTAGTGCTAATCTTTTCAGTCTCATGTTACGTGTCACCTTTTTTTCCCCTTCCTTCCTCTTCTAAGCACTTCATTTTCCTCTCTAGAGCCCTCTGCATTCTTCTATCACTTTCTTGGGAGACGAAAGTGAACACATAACGTGCTTCTTAAAAAATAGGTTTTTAAATAAGCAATGAATTGTTCATGTAGTCAAGAAATGTCCACTGCTACTGGAGCTTTGTCACTTTAGATTCATATTCAAGGATGTTAAAAATTACATAGGAATATCTTGTACAACCTTGGCCCCAAATTACCGAGGTCAACAGCCAGGGCTTCTGCTAAGCAAGATAACCATACCTGAAACTGATATAATTCCAGCAAAAAGCAAAGAAACGTCTTTTAGTGTGCATATAGCACACACACACTTTGCATTAGGTTTCTTAAAATATTGACAACAAGTGTAAGAATCTCATAATTAGTTGAGACCCTGGTCTGGGAGCCACTAGTATAGAATAAATAAAACTGGAATGATCCAGGGCAGGACAATAATTTTATTTAAAAATCAGGTGCAGTTTCTCATTTTTTTTTTTTTTTGGTACTTTTCATTGGGCTACAAATTGTTTTGAAATGTTAACTGTATAGTAATTATGAGCACCTAGTTTGAATAAGGGAGTGCACAAAGATAGGTTTATTTCTGTATGTGTATCATAACCTCCATATTACATGAATGTACACACAAATGCACATGATATTCAGAGATGGGAAAATGAAAGTATAGAGGTGAGTTTTAGAATGGCTCAGGTATGGGAGAAAGGGAAGTCAGTTTCCAAAACTATTACGAAGTTACAATTACAGAGTTCTGGTGATTTAGAATTCTATACTCAGAAACTAATGAACCTCATCTTAACTTTAACTGAACTATTCCAGAAAAGGTTAACTAGTCATAGGGAGAACAAGTGAGAGCAATTTCCTTCAAATCTTTGATTCTAATTTTAAAAACACAGTAATGTATTTGACAGCACTGATTTCACACTAAAGTAACAAAGAACTCTTACACAAAGCAAAAAACAAAACAGGTTTTAATGATTTAAACAGATGAATAGGTTTATAATAACCATTAACTAAGGGAAGCCCTAGAAACAGAAATAAGGATTTTAAAATTGCATGCAAAATCTAGTTACCGTAAAAAACCAATGCAATACCAAAATATCTCAGCCTCCTAGCATAGACTCCAAGTCTTTTATTTCCAATTCTTGATAATCAAAATATGTACACTTTCACATGCTCCTGGTTGTGGAGTAATAAGCTTATTCATACAGGATTACAAACATCTTTCACAGATGGGAGGGCACAAAAGAACAGTATCTCCCTCCATCTTTTTGGGCCCATCTTGGGGGGAAAAAAAGGCACTCCCAAAGGTTCCTTGGTAACACCTTTGCCAGGCTTGTTAATTGCTCACATAATCTTTACATGTAAAGTGAATGGTCCACTCATTTCATAAATCTGGGAACCAAAGACATTGAGAAACTGCCTTTGTTTAACTCACATGCCAGATAACTGGCTTTCTTAAACAATGACAAAAACTTTGCATACTGGTTTCAAAAAGGGCTTTGTCTCCTTGACAACTTACATATGCTTAATCACTAGGCTTTGTCATGCACAGCCAAATATATCATGGATGTGAAAGAACCACCATCTGAGATGATGACAGAGGACGTCTCCTTGACAACTTACATATGCTTAATCACTAGGCTTTGGCATGCACAGCCAAATATATCATGGATGTGAAAGAACCACCATCTGAGATGATGACAGAGGACTCTCCGAATCATTATTCTCAGTGTTCTAACATCAGCTGCTCTCAGTTCCTTTATAATAATTCAAGTTTGTCTTTCAGAGCACCTCCCACATGCTCTGAACCTAGGTTTAATCTCTTTGCTGAAAAATATGTTAAAGAAAGACGCTTAGATAAACTACGAGGTCCTTCTCTATTATCATAAAAAACAGATAGTGGAAGTCAATTGCCCATGGGCAGTTGTTTGCTAGTCACAGAATCTTTAGAAACCTTTTGCCTGAGTCCAAGGAGAATTTGCTTTATCATTAAATCTGACCCATGTTGAGTCATACTAAAACAGCACTTGGGTAGCCAATCTCAAATCAAATTGAGCTTACATGTCTTTACATTTATTGCATCCATGCAGTATGCAATTTTTGATGCTGAATAAGAGAAATGCGGCAATTGAAGGCTTCACCACAAGCATCACATTCATGGGTTTCTTGGGTTTTCACCTCTGCATGGATCTTCTGATGGTTGACAAGGCTGCGCTGTTGACTGAAACTTTTGTCACACTTCTCACACTTATAAGGTTTCTCTCCTGTGTGTATCCTCTGATGCTGAATAAGACCTGAGTTTCGGCTAAAGGCCTTTCCACATTCATCACATTTATGGGGCTTATTACCTGTGTGAACACCCTGATGGCGAATAAGATTACAAAGCTGACTGAAGCTTTTGCCACACTGTCTGCACAGATAGGGTCTCTCACCAGTGTGGATTCTCTGATGTTCAATAAGAAATGAGCTTCGACTGAAGCTTTTCCCACAAACAGTACACAGGTAGGGCTTTTCACCAGTGTGAATTCTTTGATGCTGTACAAGATGAGCACTAACACTAAAAGTTTTACCACATTCATCACATTTATAAGATTTTTCCTTAGGGTAGACCTCCTGCTGTATAACAAGACTACAATTTGGATCAAAACTTTCCTTAGTTTCATTGTATGGATAAGTCTTCTCCCTAGTGTGGATTCTCTGATGTTGAATAAGACCTGAGCTTCTACTGAAGGCTTTTCCACATTCCTCACATTTATGGGGTTTGTCTCCCGTATGAATTCTCTGATGACGAGTAAGGTTGCAAAGCTGACTGAAACTTTTCCCACACTCTTTGCACTGATAAGGTCTCTCACCAGTATGGATCCTCTGATGTTCAATAAGGAATGAGCTCCGACTAAAGCTTTTTCCACATTCAATACAAAGAAAAGGCTTCTCACCAGTGTGTATTTTTTGGTGTTGTATAAGGTATGTACTTAATCTAAAGGCTTTCCCACATTCACCACATTTATGGGGTCTTTCACCAGTGTGAATTCTCTGGTGTTCAACGAGCAATGAATTTCGACTAAAGCTTTTCTTACATTTCATACAGTGATAGGGTTTCTCACCAGTGTGAGTTCTTTGATGTTCAATAAGGTGTGACTTCCAACTGAAGGCTTTCCCACAGTCACTACATTTATGGGGTTTCTCACCTGTGTGAATCCTTTGATGTTTAACAAGGCTCCTTCTCTGGCTGAAGCTCTGTTTACACTGATTACACTGATAGGGTCTTTCTCCAGTGTGGATTCTCTGATGTCTAATAAGGGTTGAGCTCACACTAAAGGTTTTTCCACAGTAATTACACTCATAGGGCCTTTCCCCAGTGTGAATTCTCTGATGTTCAATAACAAATGAACTCCGACTAAAACTTTTCCCACATTCATTGCACTGAAAAGGTTTCTCACCAGTATGGACTCTTTGATGTTGTATGAAATGGGCCTTGCGCACAAAACCCTTCCCACATTCTTCACATTTATGGCATTTCTCTTCTGAGATTGGTCTCTTGCGGATAATATTAGTGTTTCCTCTAAACATTCTCTGTTCCTGGGTCAAAGATTCCCTCGGAATTTCCCATAAGAAGATCCCTCTCTGTTTGTCTAACCTACCAACAAGTTCAAAGTTTTCTCCACCCATGGGATCCTGGTCAATTTCACTTTTGATTCTTGTAACTATTACACCCTGTGGTTCCATTTCGTCTTCAATTTCTTCAATTTCTTGTTTCACAGTTGGCTCCTCATCTTTATCTCTATTTAAGACATCTAGAACAATAAAGAGAAAATACAAACATCAGCCAAGCTGTTTGATGGCAAGGAGAAATTATCAGAAAAATAAGGTAATCGAGATAAATCAACCTACCGTATCTATAAAAAGTAGTTTACTACCTCACAGTATTCTTGTAAGGATTAAATTAGTTCATATACACAAACCATTTAGAACAGCACCTGGTAAAGAGTACAAGCTATATAAATATTATTGTTTAATACTGGTTATCTGATGCAATGAAATGATTTTCTTGGAGAAGGGTATGAAAAGAGTGCTCAGCAGGCACATAAGACAGGAGAAGCAAGCAGAGTAGGGAGGATGCTCTGGCAAATCAACTCTGAATTATATAAGCTAAGATGGTCAAAGAAATAAAACCAGTGAGGTGGGATTAACCAGTCTTCCAAGGAAGAAATAACATGAGAAGAAAACAGTAGATTCAGGAAAATTTAGGATGAGAAAGCATGAGAAGACCACATAATTGACAGAAAAGAACATATAAAAGGATAAAAGACAAAGAACAAGTGGAAGCAACCATTCATTCATTAACAAGAATTTATTCACTGCCTATCAAAAGCATTCTAGGCACTATGCAATGAACTGGGATTCAGAGATAAGACATGAAGCCCCCTACCATATGAAATGTATACTGAATAAAAATGGGGAAAGAAAATAACATGATAAAGAAAATATTAAATAAAAAGTAGCTACTACAAAAAGACAAAATGGCTTTTAAAAAGAAAAGATGAAGTGACATGGAGTCTATGATACAGAGAGATTAAAAATAAAATACAATCATGCGTCACTTCACAGACCTAATGACAGGGATACATTCTGAGAAATACACTTAGTTGCTAGGCAATTTTATCACTGTATGAACAGCATTGTACTTACACAAACCTAGATGGTATAGCCTACTATACACCTAGGCTACATGGTACAGCATATGGCTCCTAGGCTATAAACTTGTACAGTGTGTTACTGTACTTAATACTGTAGGCAATTATAACTCAATGGTAAGTATATATGTATTTAAACATATCTAAACATAGAAAAGGTACAGTAAAAATAACAATATTATAATCTTATGGAACCACCCTTGTGTATGTGGTCCATTGTTGACTGAAACGCCATTATGCAACACATGCCTGTAATTAAAAAGGAACATGGTTACAGTTAATGGAAGAAAGGAAGAAAAAAGAACAGTCTGTGGAAGCTTATGACTTCACCTACCACGAATCATACCACTTTCTTCAAGTACAAATGATTTTCAACCCTCTGAAGATATAAGACCAAAAGTCCACCATCTTGTTCCAACTGTGAGTCTGCATGACATCTGAGAAATGAAAATCTTGCATGTGAAGAAAAGATAGCATAATGTTCTATGATATAACAAGGTGGCATACAGGATATTTAAGTCTGCCTCTTGACTTCTTTCCTCTTGCTGCCTGTTAGACAACTTCACTAGAAGATTCAGTCACTACCACATTTACAGTTGGCCCCTAAACAAGTTCCTTTTTCATACATCCTCTTTACTCTCACTTTTGTAGTTTTCTAACTGTGGAGTCATCTTTGAATACTCCTTTCAATTACTTCAAACCAGTCATTAAGTTATTTTTATCCACAAAGACTTCTTCTCTATTCTCACCTACAGAGTGCCCTCTCAAATTCACTTTCAGTGGACTGTGCATTCTTTCACACAATAAAAAAGGATGAAAAGTGGGCCGGCCCGGTGGCGCACTGCGCTAGTGCGCTGCTTGGGAAGCGCGGCTGCGCTCCCGCCGAGGGTTCGGATCCCACATACAGACCGGCTCCCGCTCACTGGCTGAGCGAGGCACGGGGGCAACACCGAGGGTTGCGATCCCGTTGCCGGTCCCGGTCCGGTACGGGGGCGACACTGAGGGTTGCGATCCGTTGCCGGACATGGAAAAAGAAAAAAAAAAAAAGGATGAAAAGAACTCCCTCAACTTTCTACCCCTTTACCTATAAAATTACCTTCAAGAGTACAAGAAGACATATCCCATTCTTTTCCAAAGCTAATCCACCCACCCCCTCTTGATCCCACTCACCTCTGGGCTGTTGTTCAATTATCATCATTCTTTCCTCTTTCTTTAATCTACACTCTCCATTGACACCTTTGTACCATCATACAAATATGTCCAACTTTATCTTGAATCTGTATTCCTTCTCTTGATGAAAGCCAAGCTTTGGAAAAAAAAAAATCTTAACTCTGTAGCTTTCCATTTCCTATGTTTTCCATGCCCAACCTCTTCTCATTCAATCTATTTTATAGCCTACTGTGAAATCTGGTTTCTGTTTCCAACATCTAGGGAAATTTCATTAAATCACCAATAATTTCCACATAACAAATACAATGGAATTTTTCAGTCCTCCTTTTATTCAGCAGCATCTGACATTGTTGACTACTCCCATTTCTTAACACTATATGTTTTCAGTTTCTATGTTATGACATTGTTTTTGTTCCCTCCCTACTACTTTGGCCTTTTCTAATATATATTCCTCATTTATTTCTCTTCCTTTGTCAACTGTTTCATGTTATTGTTACCCAGGTTTACAGCCTTACTCACTCTACATGTATACCTTCTGGATATGTCCACAAAGATGCCCCACAAAGGGCACACAATTAACATTGTCATCACCTGCTCTCATGTCTCCACCCACCTCTAATCATGTCTTGAAAGGCACTACCATCCATTTTAAAGTTCCAAAGTCAGAAATTATCCTATATTTTTCCCTTCGTCTTACTGTTAATCAATCACCCAAATGATGGATTTCTTTCTAGCATTTACCTATTCTTTTTAACCCTCACAATCACAAAATGTAGCCACTTAATAATCCTTGGCTCTGGTCTTTAGGCTGTCCTCACATTACATCTGCCTTAGTGATTCCAGAGAGATATTTATAAAATGGAATTCTACGCATGTCATCACCTGTAGATTCAGCAGTACCCCATCACCTTTTGAGATCAAATCAGAGTTCTTTATTATGATACTCAGAACTCTTCATGACACAGTCTTTAAGCCTCAACTCACCTTTCTACCTAACTCTGTCATACTTTTATAGGCAAATTGCTTGTGGTATAGTCTTTCATGACATATCTTTGCATATCCCATTTATTAAATGTCTCTCAGTATTGTTTACCTGGAAAACTCCCGGTTTCTCTTTAAGATTCAGTTCAAAGCAAAGCCTTCACTAGGTCCGCTAGACAGATTTAGGTGTTCCATTTTTTATCACCACCCTTGTCCATAACTCCACTATGGCTATTATTACACTGCACTTTTTAACTGCTTGTTATGTGTTTGTCTTTTCCATTGGATTGTAAATTCCCTGTGAGAAGGGAAAGTCTCTTTAAAATGGTTATCCAGTGGATACTGCTCTGGGTTTTACTCAATGGAATAAGACAAAATTATTATTACTTGCAGATGATAGAAATATATGCCTAAAATTCTTGAAAGAATTGAATGAAAATAAAATGGCAATAAAAGGATTAAAAATCTGGTTCTTACCACCAAGAAAACCAGTTAGTAAATATCATAGAAAAGTGAAATATGCTCTTCACAATAGTAACAAAAAACATAAAACCTAGGAATAAATATAACAAGAAATGTGCTAAAGCCATAATAATCCATACAATTATTCTGAAAGACAAAAAGACAGTTAAACAGAGTTAATCAAATAGCTAAAGAGATTCAACATTACAAAGATCTCAATTCTTCTCAAACTAATCTATGAAACTAATCGCATTCCAATAAAAATCATAGGAACCGATAAAAAAAAAACCAATGAATCTAAATTTCAACAGTAAGAATGCAGACAACTAGTTAAGTACATCCTGCAAAAGAATACTAAAGAATGAGTTATCAGACATAAAAAGTAATATACTGCTACAGTAAATAAACAATGACACTGGCATAAAAATAAATAAGTCAACAGGACAGGCAGGTGAAGAAAATAAGTGCAGGTTTCAACACAGAGCATCCCTGAAATGACTATCCATTTGATTTGGGCTTGGTAGCTATAATCACCTTTTGGTGATTATATGTCATGCTTGTATTTTTTCTTCCCATCCTATGGTTGTCTACAGCTAATCTGTCTACAGTAGACAGTTGACTAAAAGTAGATCTTTCCCAGGAACTTGAAATTGAAGCTGAAATAACTAGTTAATCTGAATGTGGCTAGAACTGTACCCTACCAACTCAGAAGCTAAAAGGGCAGAAGCATGTGACATAAGGAGAAAAGACTAGTCTACCAAGGAAAACAAAACAAAACAAAAAGAGTGTTATGGACTGAATGTTTGTGTCCGCACCACACTTCAATTCATACATTGAAGCCCTAAGCCCCCATGAGATGATATTTGGAGGTGAGGCCTTTGGGAGGTAATTAGGTTTAGATGAGGTCATGAGGGTGCAACCCCCATGATGGGATTAGTGCCCTTACAAGAAGAGGAACAAAGATCAGAGCGCGCACAGGTTCTCTCAGCCATGGGAGGATACAGTGAAAAGGTGGCTATCGGCAAGCCAGGAAGAGGGCCCTCACCAGGAACTGAGTCTGCCGCACCTTTACCTTGGACTTTCCAGCTTCCAGAACTGTGAGAGATAAATGTCTGTTGTTTAAGCCACCCAGTCTATGGTATTTTGTTATAGCAGCCTGAGCTAAGAAAGAGAAAAATTCCTGAATTCCTGAGAGTGACTCAGTTTCTGGCTTCAGTCATTTTTTGATGTCCAGCCATAATTAAGCTCATATATTCTATAAGACATCCCTAAGTCCTTATAATAATTTCTCTTTCTGGCTTAAACTAGCTTTAGTCGATTTTTATAATTTTTAATCAGGCAGTTTAAATATTATGATAGCTGAGGAGACAGAGAGAAGGCAAGGAAATAGTAAAGTAGAAATGAATAAACTTTAGGGGAGGACAGAAATTGGCATGCTTTTTCTGTAAAGGGCCAGACAATAAAGATTTTTGGCTTTGTGAGCCATATGGTCTCTGTTGCAACTACTCAATTCTGCCACGGCAGCATGAAAATGATCATAAACAATATAAAAAAGAAAGGGCATGCCCATGTTTCAATAAAACTATTTATAAAAACAGGTGGTGGCCCAGATTTGGCCTATTGCCAACCCCACTATCCAACACAGTAGAAAATGAACAGTTTTCCTGGTTAACAGAATGGGAGAATAGGGAAGAACTAGAATTGCTAGGGCCTAGCACAGTATTTGATAACTATCTATGGAATGAATGAATAATTGAACAAATAACTGAAAAGAGACTATAATCAAAGAAGAAAAACAATGAGCTCAAGATCTTGTAGGTACAGCAATTCCCAGTTCTGTCAAGGTCCAGTGTGGCTCAAGTAATTGAAGAGTCAGTAAAATTGAAGAGGTCAAAGAACTAAGAGATCACACTATCAGCTGTTATCACTGATGTAGCTATTAAAGTTTTTAAAGAAAAAGTAGCAATGGAAAGGAAAAGTATGAATGAAGGGCCAAAACTATAAAGCTGGAAGAGAGTTATGTCATGAAAACCAATCAGATGAAGTGGAGGAGAACAACGCAATGGAACAGTAGATTAATAGTGATCTCACATCAAGGGAGCTCTCATCAAGGGGATGGAGATGAGGTCTATTGAGGAGGATGAAAAGACTGTGGGAGGAGAAATAATAAATGATGAAAACCTGTATTTAAGTTAAAATAAAGAAGAGACTGAAAGTACAAGATCACAGATGGCCTCACTGCCATGCCTTTGTCCATCTGGTATTCATATGTTGCAGCACTAGGGGCAGGCAGGGCTTGGTACTTGCCTGGTTCTATCAACCAGGATACCATATGTATGGATACGCTGGCAGTGACTCAGAGACATCATGGGATATTAAAAAAAAAAAAAAAATCAGCAGTTGATATGGCTGAAAACTGAAGTGGTGTGCAGAAAATAATAGTTGAGACAAGAAAGCTAGGCAGGGGCTATATTTGGGAGGTCCTAGTATGATAAGATACGAAATTAAGATTTTTATCCTTTAAGCTATCAGGAATCATCAGAAGTTTTAAGCAGTTAACTAACACAAAATCACTTTTGTGGCAGTAGAGAGAATACTAAAGGAAAGACTGGTGGCAAGCAGCTAGTTTAAGGACTAATGCAATAATTCATTTAAGAGATACTGAGTCTTAAATTAACTGTACTTATTCAGTCACAAAAATATTTGAGAAGCATACAATATAGGCCTGGCTCTGTGTGAAGGGCTGGAGAAATAAAATGAAAAGGATAAACTGTCCTCATGGTGATCAGGGAAATAACATATAAAGAATGATTATAGTATAGGATGATAAATTCAACATTGAAGTATATACAAGGTAGCACAGAGAAAGGAGTGCTTAATTTTGAAAAGAAGGCCTCAAGATCTTAGTGGATTATTTGAGATTTGCCAGGTACGATTTACATATGTGGTCTTCAAAAGAAGATGACTAGGAATTTGGAACTGGTGAAACCAGGATTTGAACCTAGGCAGTTAAGCTCCACACTACCTCTCTTACATGGACATAAAGACTTGAGATTTATCACATAGTGATAGCTGATGACCTGAGGGTAAATAAGGTCACCCAAAAAAAGTGTACAAACTAAGGGTAAGTCTCAGAATGCAAGTCAATGAAGGAAAGCAATAAAGAGTTTTAAATATTCATAAAAAGGTGGAATAAAATAAGATCTAAAAAGAGACTACTGCATTTGACAATGAAGTTATTATAGATCCCTGTTAAACGATTTAAAGGAAGTGTTGAGGAAAGACAAAGGGGCTTAAAGATAATTGTAGGTGAAGAAGTACAGAACACACACTTACTACTCTTAGAAAACTTGGCTGTGAAGAGAACGAGTAGCAATTTGCAAGGAGCAGCAAGAGGGATACTCTGGCTGAATGGAGGGTTTTTTCTTTCTTCCTAATTGGAAGAGCCATCAACATACCTATCAGAATAAAGGTACCAAGGGATAAGCAATAGAGACTGAAGCTATAATGGAAAAAAGGACGATTAGTGGTAAGTTTCTGAAGAAGTGAGAAGATGGGAGTGGCTTTACATGTGCAAATAGGGGCAAAGAAGTTGAAAGTTCATACTTAGTGACCTCTATTTTCTCCATGAAACAGAAGGGGAGGTCCGCTATTGAGTGACGGACTCAACGAAAACTCTTAAAATTTTGGAATAGTCACTAAAAGGAAAAGGAGAGTAAGAATATCAAAGATAAAAAATTGCTGAGGTATAAGAACCCAGTGGAAACTAGAAGGAAAAAAAAGCCATGTGCATATATAGGACATCAGTTCTTTTGGTTACAGAATTTCTCCTGCTGTGTCCAGCAACTCGGGCAGGAGAGAAGAAAAGGTGAATTTTCTAAGAAATACAGGATTTGAAGTTTGCAGAATGGGTAGAGCACAATGACAAGGTGGCAAAAGAGCGTGCTGGTGATTAGATGAGAAGGTGAAGTCAGAAGAGGATTGACACCCTGGTGAAAAATGGAGATGTCAAGGGACAGGAAACATCATTAAGAATGAACAGGTTTAAGTGAAAATGAGGACAGACAAAAAGATAAGAAGCTGTAGTAAGCTTCTTCCAAGGGCAGAAAGCATATCTGTTTTGGTCACCCTTGTTTAGTTTCAGTCAATAAACATTTACTGCCTGAATAACTGGCCAGAGAAGAGTATATCAGAGTTTAAGATTTGTGTGTTAGGATAAAATAGAGGGTATGATCAATGATGTGAGTTATTGAATAAAAACAGGGAGAAAGCTTCCTGAAGTCAATATGGTCAAGATCCACAGAAGTTCAAGGACTGACTGGGTCATCGATGGTGTGGGTTAAAATAGAGAAGACTATAAAACATGTGACAAAGTTATGTGTGAGGGATCAAAGAAAAAGTTGACAGATAATAGTGAAAAGGAATTGAGTGGGTAGAGCAAGACTGCTGAGTCCTCAAAGGAGGATTTTGTTTGAAGGTAGAAAACTAATGCTTTGGGAACAGCACTGAAAAGCTGGGAGAACAATAACGTCTCCCTTCCAGCCTTGAGACAAAGGATGGGAAAGGAGGAGGGTGTGGGAGGGTAAGCAGCGCCCATGTGAAGGACTGCCAGCGAAGTGGTGTCCTTGGGAAAATGCCAGGTTTCAGTTAAGGCCAGGAGGGGTAAAGAACATTGTGTGAAGAGGAACAGGGGCTCCAGAAGGCAGAGTGAAAAGGGGTGGGAGGGAAACAGTGGGAGGATGAGCCAGGAGGAAAAATACAGAGGAATATGGAAACAAGATTATGAAGACAGGAAGCCAGAAAAGCTTGCGTTTTGGTCACTGAAAGGAAGCTAGGGATGAGAGTCATGGAAACAATTATTGAAAGGTTTGAATCAGAACTTTGAAACAAAGCAGTTCTGGTACTGTTACTGGTCCAAGTGTTCTGAGCCTAATTTCTACAACCTTCTTAGATATTTTAATTAGAGAAACAACTGATTCTTACCCAGTGAGACCAGGTTTCCATAATTCTCCATCATGACATCTTTATACAGGCTTCTCTGAGCTGGGTCCAGATAATCCCACTCCTCCTGGGTAAAAAACACAGCCACATCCTCAAATGTCAGCAACCCCTGAAATAGTATGATTTCTGTAGTCAGTTCCTGTTGTCTCAAGGACAATTCTACCACTGAAAGTGGCAGAGGCAATCACTTATCAGGGCCGAGTAGGCTAGGAGGAACATAACTAAAAAGAGTTCCATATGGTGCCCAATTCTGAGAACTGACTGTAACACAGAGGCACCACAGACTAAAGGTTAAAGGGCTGGATCCTTGTCCTCGGTAGTTTAGGGCCTAAGGATAAGGCTTTTCTGGTTTAATTATTATACCCTAATATTTTAATTTTAGTAAACTGCCCCAAGGCCTCTCCAAGCTTCCCCTACCTGATTACCCCTCTGCAATTCTCTACACGAACTGGTTTGCGACCCTATTCAATTCAATTCCTTTAAGTTCTCCAAGCATCTACCTTGTGTCTAGGCATCATGCCAGGCGCAGGAGACACAGGGGAAGGTCAAAAATGGTGCCTCACCTGGAGGAACTCACAAAGGAGAGCCAGCTTGGAACATTACTAATTTTCTCAAGATGATTTATCAAGTCGCTCTTGATAAAATGGAGTCAATGGGCAGTTTGTTCGCGAACCGCACCCCACACAGCACTAGGCGGGGAGTTCCTTGCACGACGCTGGCCCTGAAGACAGCAGTCAGGATGTTGGGGGTGAGGCGATCTTGGGGGTGGAGCGGCCTAGCTCCAGTAGAGGTGAGACAACGCAGATCCCCAGAGGGGCTACTTACCTTTGGCTCAGGCGGGGGGCTCGGGGAGGCCATCTCCCGGTTAGGGGGTAGGAACCCGGGGCGGCCGCAAAGAAAGGAGCCCCCGGTGAGGCCTATCCGGCTTCTGGAAATTAGGCCCAACGAAGTCGAGGCCTCCTTGCTGGGTTCGGCCAGGTCCTGCCTCGGTACCCGCACGGTCACGACCCCAGCAGCATGTCAGACGCGATCCCTGGCTGCCCCCCAATCCCGGGCCCCCTCCCCTGCTTGGTTACGCAGCCTTTCTGGCCTCGCTACAGCCTCCTCCCGATTGCCAGTTCCTCCTCCTTTCAGCCAAGCAGCGCTATGACCGACCGCCCCCGGACCAGAAGGCGTCACCCGAATCCCTCTTGGGACGCCCCCCAACTACAACTCCCGTCATGCTCTGAGAGAGCACCTCGGTCCAGCCTCTGCCGCCAATGGCTACAGAGGACTACATTTCCCGGCGTGCAAAGGGCGAGGGAGCCGTTCGGAAAAAGGAAACACCTGCCTCTAAGCTTGCATCCGATTGGCTGGTCTGGGCGCGTCGCTGCCGGCCGAGGGTTGAGCGGAGGCCAGTGGCTCTTCTCTAAGATGGCGGTGCTGTCTGTGTCCAGCATAACCAGAAGAGGCTTCACGTGGATGGTTACAGGGACACCACGCAGAGAATTTTGGTCTCGATCCAGGTAAAGCCAAAGGTTGGGCGGTGGGTCACGTAAAGTAAGGAGAGAAACTGAGGAGGATGAAGGGACGAGTTCAGAAGAGAGTGTCGTGCTATTGAGACGGAACCCTGGTCCTGCGCTTGATAGGGGGTGTGAATGAGAAAGTGCGTTGGTGTCCCGAGTTCAGAAGCTTCAGGCCTCTCTGCGCGATCGGTGGGGCCCAGTCACTTCACTTTAGTTTTCTCATCTTACAGTGGAAATACCGCCCCCTTTCCCTTTCACTTCACTCCTTCATTTATTAAGTAAACTGTATTGACTGCGTATGCAAGGCATCGAGTGTGGTGTCGGCAAACGAATGACTGTTTGGAACGTTCTGCTTAGAACATGAACGCGAAAGTGCTCGGTAAACTCATTTTCAGGGTATGTTTCTTCACAGGCAAGATTCAGAAGTGAGTTGCAGCCTCCTCATTTTGGTCGTTTGTTCATTCATTGATTCACTCAACTAATAGTTTTAAACGCCTTCTCTGGGCCAGCATTTCTCAAAGCGTGTAGGAAACAGCTGCAGAAACAAAGTCCTCTCTCAATCATTAAATACTCATATGAAGAAACTGAGGCCCACAGAAGGGAAGTATTTTTTCCAAAGTCACAAAGCAAGTTAATGGCAAAGCTGGATCTGGAACCCACATCTCCAAACCCTCTCAATCATTAAATACTCATATGAAGAAACTGAGGCCCACAGAAGGGAAGTAGTTTTTCCAAAGTCACAAAGCAAGTTAATGGCAAAGCTGGATCTGGAACCCACATCTCCAAACTCCCCACCGACTGCTTTTCCCACTGCACCATGTGTAATCGTTTGAAGGTCAATCTGTTTGACCTAGATAGTGTTTAGGGCATCAAAACTTATGGTGGGAATCTCAGGAAACAATGTATGCCCTCTTATATATCAGACAAAAATTCCTATATTACCATCCTCTCTTCTTTGTTTAATATTTGCTATTATCTCAGATCTCCTCCAAGTTTGTTTCATTCATTCACTCAGTTATTTTTTAGAGTGTCTGCTGTATGCCAGGTTATATTCTAGGTGTTAAGAACACAGTGGTTAATAAGACAAACCAAATCTTTGTCCTCATAGAGCATATGTTCTAGAGGAGAGAAAAATGAACAAATGTCGAGTGTAATTTTAGGAAGTGGTAAATTATGAGGGAAACTCATAAGAGATTACTGAGAGGGAAGAAATGAATTACATTTCTTTTTCTTTTACTTATTTTTAAAAGTTGTATATAGTTAAGGTATAAGACGTGGTGTTTTGATATACGTGTACATAGCTGATTTCTGTAGTCAAGCTAATTAACATATCTTCACAGTTACCCTTTTTTGTGTGGCGAGAACACTTAAGATTTACTCTCAGCGGATTTCAAGTATACAATGCAGTATTATTAATGATAGTTACCACACTATATATTAGATCTCTAGAACTTATTCATCCTACATAACTGAAATTTAACTTTGACCAACATCTCCTGATTTCCTCCACCATTCCTGGTAGCCGCCATTTTACTTTCTGCTTCTATGAATTTGACTTTTTTTTGATTCCACATATAGGTGAGATTATGTGGTATTTTTCTGTGTCTGGCTTATTTCACTTAGCATAATGTCCTCCAGGTTCATTTATGTTATTGCAAATTTCGTTTTTTAAGGCTGAATAATATTCCACTGTAAAAATACACATAGATACACACATGTACATGTACATACATATATACAAGGGTTCTTCAAAAAGTTTATGGAAAAATGGATTTAAAAGATAATATGAATTTTTCTGTGAACTTTCTAAAGTACCCTTGTATGTATACATATATACCTATACATGCACGTATATATACCCATATACCTACTATTTCTTTATCCATTAATCTTTCAGGTGACATAGGTCGTTTCTATATCTTCGCTTTGTGACTAAGCTGCAATGAACATGCGAGTGCAGATAACTCCTTGAGATACTGATTTCATTTCCTTTGGGTATACAAGGGAACTTCATGAAATTAGTGACAAATAGAATTAAAAGATAATAGGAATCTTTCCATGAACTTTTGAAGTACACTCATACACACAAAAGAGGGATTGCTGGATCATATGATAGTTTTGTTTTTAATTTTTCGAGGAACCTCCATACTGTTTTACATAATGACTGTACCAATTTACCTTACCACCAACAGTGCATAAGGGTCCCCTTTTCTTTACATCCTAGGCAACTCTTGTCTTTTTGATAATGGCCATCTAATGGGTGTGAGGTGATATCTTATTTTGATTTACATTTCCCTGATGATAAGTGATGTTTGGCATCTTTTCCTTGTGGGCCACCTGTATGTCTTCTTTGGAAAAATGTCTATTCAAATCCTTTGTCCATTTTTAATTGGATCATATTTTTGCTATTGATTTGAGTTCCCTAAATGTTTTGGATATTGTCAAATATCAGATCTGATCAGATACGTGGTTTGCAAATATTTCCTCCCAATATAGGTTGTCTTTTCATTTTGTTGATTTTTTTCTTTAGTTGTGCAGAAGTGTTTTAGTTTGATGTAGTTCACTTGTTTATTTTTACTTTTGCTTTTGTTGCCTGTGCTTTTTGGTGTCTGCGCTTTTGGTGTCATATCTAAAAAATTATTGCCAAGACTAATCTCAAGGAGCTTTTTCCATATGATTTCTTACAGGAGGTTTTTTTTTTTTTGGTTTCAGGCTTCATATTTAGTTAAGTCTTTAGTTATTTTGAGTTGATTTTGCATATGGTATGAGGTAAAGGCCCAATTTCATTCTTTTGCACGTAAATATTCAGTTTTCTCAACACCATTTATTGAAAACTTTTCTTACTTTTAAAAATAAGTAAAAGAAAAAGAAATGTAATTCATTTCTTCCCTCTCAGTAATCTCTTATGAGTTTCCCTCATAATTTACCACTTCCTAAGAAAAGTTTTCAATAAATGGTGTATTCTTGGCACCTTTGTAATTTTTTGGTGCTATTATAAATTTTTTTTAAAAATTTTCTTTTCACATAGTTTGTTGTTGTTGTAAAGAAACTTTGCTGATTTTTGTATGTTGATATTGTATCCTGCAACTTTACTGTATTCGTTTCTTAGTTCTAACAGCTTTTTAGTGTAAAAATTTTCTTTTCACATAGTTTGTTGTTGTAAAGAAACTTTGCTGATTTTTGTGTGTTGATATTGTATCCTGCAACTTTACTGTATTCGTTTCTTAGTTCTAACAGCTTTTTAGTGGAGTCTTTGGGGTTTTATACTTATAGGATCATGTTATCCGCTACCAGAGACAATTTTATTTCTTCTTTTCTGATTTTGATGTCTTTTTTTCCCCTTTTTCTTCCCTAATAGATCTGGCTAGGACTTCCCGTATTACGTTAAATAGAATTGGTGAGAGTGGGCATTCTTGCCTTGTACTGGACCTTAGAGGGAAAACTTTCAGTTTTTCCCCATTGTTCATGATGTTAGCTGTGGGCTTTTTCTAAATGATCTTAATTGTGTTGAGCTAAGTTCTTTCGCTTAGGCTTAGGCTCTCTGCTCCTTTTTTTTTTTTTGTAATCATATAAAGAGCTTTATTTTTAATGTAATACTTATAAAAGAATTTGTATGACATGTAGATCTAGATTAAAGAACAACAATAGAATGGATATCCATGTATACACTACCCAATTTAAGAATACAACATTACCCATGTTTTAGCCCTGTGTAACAGTTTCCACAATGGCTCCCACTGTTTCTGCCTCAGAGTAACTGCCATCCTGAATTCTGTGTTAAATGGTTTTCTCTTTTTGTTATATATATTTTAGTTAACATTGTTTTATTATTATTTTGTTAAAATGTACAATACAGTATTATTATATTCACCATGTTGTGTAATATATTGCAAAGAAAAAAACTTCATTCCTTCTTTCTAATTGAGACTTTGTACCCTTTGACTATCATCTCCCCGTATCAACCCCCCAACTCTACCCCTGGACCCCAGCCTCTGGTAACCACGTTCTACTCTCTGCTTCGTGTTTGATTGTGTGGTAATTGTCTTTCTGTGCCTGGCTTATTTCACTTAGCAAAGTGTTCTCCAGGTTTGTCCATGTTGTTGCTAATGACAGGATTTTATTCTTTTTTTACTGATGAGTAGTATTCCATTGTGTATATGTACCATATTTTTTTTATCCATGTATCTATTGATAGTTACTTAGGTTGATTCCATAACTTGGCTATTGTGAATAATGTTGCAATGAACACTGTTCATTCAAAGAGCATGAGGACATCTCTTTGACATACTGATTCCAAATCTTGTGGGTAAATACTCAGAAATGAGATTGCTGGATCATATGGTAATTCTAGTTTTATGATGAACCTCCATACAGTTTTCCATAATGGCTGTATTAATTTTCATTCCCATCTATTTCTTCTTGATTTAGTCTTGGTAGATTGTATGTTCCTAGGTATTTATTCATTTGTTCTCGTTTATCCAATTGGCATATGGTTGTTCATAATAGTTCCATCTGATACTTTTTCTTTCTGAGGCATCCATTGTAATGTCTCCTCTTTCATTTCTGATTTTATTTGTCTTCTCTCTTTTTTTTCTTAATCTAGCTGAAATTTTGTCTATTTTTGTTTTATCTTTTCAGAAAACAATTTTAGTTTTGTTGTTTCTTTAATACTGTTCTAGTTGTTGGATTTATATTTGCTCTGATCTATATTGTTTCCTTCCTTCTGCTAACTTTGGCTTAGTTCTTTTTCTAGTTTCTTGAGGTTTAACATTAGGTTATTTGAAGTCTTTCTTTTATAATGTTGGTGTACATTGCTATAAATTTCCATCTTAATACTATTTTTCTGAATTCTATGAGTTTTGGTATGTTGCATTTCATTTTCATTTGTCTCAAGATATTTTTTAAATTTCTTTTTGATTTCTTCTTTGACCCAATGGTTATCCAAGAGTGTGTTGTTTAGTTTCCATGTATTTGTGAATTATTAAATTTTCTTGCTGCTA